CCATGCAAATCTTTTGGAACTGCAAATCCGATGTATGCACAGAGAAGGAGGTCCTGAGAATCAGTAACTGTGCGGCTGTTAGAGCTGATACTGCACTAGCCAAGGTTTCTAGTTTACTGGCTTCATCTGTTTGCAGTTTCGCACACCTGCTTCACACTTCCAAATTGTAGCAATGATTTACTCACTGTATCAGCTACCGATTATTGTACACGTTATCACTGTTATATCCGTTAATGCTATTTTATGAAACAGCACCCCCTGTGGAAGCTTCTAGTGCAGCATGCATTTCTGAGCTGAAACCAGCTGTAAGGCTTCATTTGAAACCAGCGATGCGCACATGATGCGGGTCGCTCCTCATCGGCTAGCCTGATCCCACAAGCGAAATAAGCGCACACACAACCGCGCATGCACATAGCCAAGCGCAGATTTTCAGCAGAAACTGCACAAGTTCACAGTTAACGAACTAAACTAAGAGGTCTCGCCCACATGAACTAAAACTGCATTCTCAACATTTTCAGTTTTCCGCAGTCACAGTATGTTTAAGATACACTGGGAAACAGTTTTCCCAGCAGTCAATAAGTATATGTAGCAGGACTTAAAGCCTTGGGCCTTTCATGAGTCTTAGAATCTCCGAAACTGGAAATTACTGTCTAGAATTACTATCCGTAATGATTACTGTAAAAATTAGAAATTACTATCTAGTGATGTAAACCGCTTGAGTCGTTGAGGCAGGCTTCCGCCTCATTTATGTTACTCAAGACTGTCAGTTAGCAAGAACCAGAGTTAGGGCAAAGAAAAGGCGGAGGACGGGCGCGATCGCTTCAGTGCGATGTGGGAACCCATGTCCAAATGGCGTTAACAGTGTCAAAATTCACACGCATTTTGTCGTAATTTACGAATGACGTACGATCAGAAAGCCAGTTCCTGTGTACAGCTCATGCGGGACCAGTCCCACATTTTTCAATTTCGCAAGGACAGACAACCGGGCACTGCGCACTTTTTATGCCTCGTACTTCAATGTTTCTTTGTCGGGATCATTAATTTTAATGAAAGATGATGTAACACTGGCTGAAGATGGATAATGATTTCTTCATTCTTCTATTTATACTTTTGTTTCATCAAATTTAGCAGCACCAGCAAAATGTCTTCTCATCAGAAAAGGCTTAGCCGTCACATCTCCAAAACAGTGGCGTTCAAAAACGCTCCTCGCCAGTCAACAGCGATACACTGGGACGATCACTAGTACGACGATTATTCAAACTGGCTTTTCAAACCCGACACTGTTCGGACGAGGACCGTAATGTGGAGCTTGGGTACTACAGAAGGCAGCATGCAACTGTGCATCGCCCTCGTGGAACAGCTTCAGCTTAGTACCCCTTCCCAACTATATACGTGTGCATCTCCTCGGAGGCTATCCAAACAGTTAGGACTGCTAGCAAAGTATGCAATATTCCCATCCATAGTTGCAGCAATACTCCATAAGCGTGTTCATCTAACGTAATGTCTGTATGGCTGCGAAAGAGCTGCTCCAAGCATTTGTCACTCTCAGTCGAGATTTGTCCTAATTTCGTTATGGCCAGATAATGGTATTCGTACGTCATTGCTTCCGATATGGTTTTGCTGAAAAGGCGTGCGCGGTGTCTCCCACTTGATGCTATGTATTTTCATCGACAGTAATGTAAAATTAGCGCCAGCCAACAGGTGTTTAATGCGCAGCCTTCCGCTGAAGCTCTTGCCAGATGTGCACTTTGAAGAATCTCCTCAATATGGTACTTGCAGTCTCCAATGACATCTCTAATTTACTGCCTTATCATATTCCCTCCTACATCTCTTTATACCTCTTAATTTAACCTAGCACTAACTTCCATTTGGAAGAGCTGGACTAATGTGTCCCCGTTTGGAATAAGCTCTAGTCGCAATTGCAGGAAGGAAAGTGAAATATAATCCGCGATAAGCACTTCCTGCTGATAAACCGATTTCACCAATGTTCTTCCGTACTTATCACGATTCACGAAAAATCATTTTAACGCCCCATCCCAGGTTGTGATCAGCTTTGTCCCTCTTCATACACAGATGCTTCGCAAACATGGCATAACGTTCTGTTCGGTTAATGATTGGAGAGTTCATCCTTCGATAGAAACCAACAGATGCAAGAAAATATCGAGAAGCTGAATCCATTCTAAGAAAATCGCTTCATCTGCAATTTTTGCAACAGCTTCTCACCCTACAGTTATCGGTCAGGCATCAGAAAAAAGTACTCGCGTATTTCCTCCATTTTTCACTTATCCACACAGCGCACAGTGCAGACGGCGCACTTTTCATCGTCCTGCATAAAAGATTGCTATTTACTGCATCGCCACTCCTGGTCAAGCTGGCCATGATCCGCATTATCGAGGACTGGTGAGACAAAATGTGGCAGGCTAGTTTCTCGACATGCCCAGAGTTGACCGGATTTGTATCTCGCTTTGTCTCGGCACCACCTTGTCCTCTGCCGCTCTCACAAGACAGTGAGGTGAATGCCTGAGTCAGAGTTCGTAAGCGGGTTTTAAAATGTGAGTTGCCAAACAGCTCATCAAAACTATGACTAATTATTGTACATCTCCAATCTTTGAACCGGTTAATCATTTTGGCTTTTGTTTGTAACTGATCGGTTAATTTTTTTTTTTTACGAAACAAACATCATAAGAAGTTAGTTGAGAGCATTATTGACGTCTACCTATGTTAGGTCGTTACTTCAACGCACGTCAAAGGGAGAGCAATTTCTAGACAATGGAGTTAATTTCTGTTGCCTCGAGCCGTTGAAATTCGATGAGAAGGTTCGCTGTAACATTGGAAGGAAAACGAAATACCGAAAATGCGGAAGAAAGCGCGTCCATAAAAGAAATCATTATAATTACTGCCATTGTTGTTACTGCCATTATTATTATTACTATATGTATTGTTTCACTGCGCGATCATCTATGCAGAAGTTTGTCCAAAATTCATCCTCATTAAAAGATTCCGGATTTCCCTGCTCCCGACATCGTCAAGAGCGTCTAGATAACAGGTCTATGAGTGATGTTACCGTGATGCCGCAATAAGCCGAGCACAAAAGTAGTCACATTCCAGCGTTGACAATTTCGCCGCTTTTTAACAGAAGTAATTTGAAGGTGAACGCTTACATTCTTATTCGTTCAACAACATCGTTGGGGTGTATGTAGATTTGTGTGCATGTGTATATTTTTTGATTGCTTCATAATTAATGATATGTAGGAAACTAATGCTTCTCGAGTTATCTGGGAAAGTGGAGCAAGGAACTGCAGGATGACCAATGCTCAGTTTATGTACACACTGACCGAACTGCGCGCCCTTCTGTGTTTGTATTTACTGGTGACTAATTTTACTTGCAAAACAGTTCGTAAAAATTCCCTGAATTCAGTGCTATTTGGCAAAAGCATAAATTTCTCCGTTACCAGTTTACGACGGGATAAGGCCGAAACAGCAAGTAAAAGCAAGAAGTAAACAGCTGCAGCTGGCTCTGAAAGGTCCAGGAAACGTCGTTGAGTCTGTTAAGAAATGCAATAATGTAGAGGGAGTAGCGGTAGCTTGTTGAGAACACTGCACCATGAAATCGAGCCGTGTTGCCGTAGCCTGAGAATAACATGCAAAAAGCAGGAAGAAGTTAAGATTGTTTTTCATGAGTGAACCCGAAAAATTACTTCTTAAACCACGACACTGGTTGCCAATCCTGCGAAGGAGAAAGTCATTACTACAATGGGCGGAACACGAAGATGGGAAACAGTGGGCAACTGACCGACACTGACCTTCGTGTGTGACTTAGCTGTGATTTTTGCTTCTACAGAACAGCCAAATGAGGGATGATAATTTACCGGCCGGCGGCAAAAAATACCTAACAACCTAAGAAACAAAGGAAGTCATGTTAATAAATCCTCTAAATGATCCCCATGGGAGGCGTTACACCTATTCATATTCTCACTCTCACGACCAACTTTTCCAATCTTTACGTTTGATTAAGAAAATATGAAATGGCTTCATTGAAATCAACGAAAATTCTGCAAAAATTTTCCATTTTGGGCGACATTTTTACTTTTTCATAGGCGACATTTTTACACAGATCCTTAATAGCTTGGCGAAATTTTGTAAAAAACAAAAAGATTTAAGGAGGAAAAAAGCTATAAAAACTGGTCAAAGGGGCCAACAGAAATTTTAAACCGAAGAGGGTGAGGCAGGGGGAGAGCTAGCTTATCCTAGAACGGGTTATCTAGAAGCACAGAAAAGGAAGTTTTTTTTTTTTTTTGACAGGGCGTTTTCGGGTTCACTAAGCAAATGAAGAACAATCTGGGTTAATCTGCGGCGCAGAAAGCAGCAAATTCGAAGCGTTAGCAAAAAAGTTTATTTAAAAGACCATCATCATCACTACATAAAAAAATTCATCAGACAAAACCATAGAAATGACAGAGAGGCATTCCTCAGTGATCCTTAAGTATGTATGCATCAGTTCCCTGCAAAACACTTCTCTTTTCAAAAGAAAAAAGTTTTTCTTTTTTAAGTAATCGCCCCAACATAATGGATAAATTTGAGCAGCTTTTCGTGCAATTCACTGAAACCTTCCTCATATAAAAATTCGTCGAATTCACTCATGCAAAATGCATTTGCTTGACAGTCAGCAAGCACACTGGGCGACACGATCACACAACTCAACATTCGAGGACAGCTGGCATTCCGACTAACCAGTTACTTTTGTCATCCATGAGCCGTAAACAGCGGAATAAGCAGCATCCATTAGGGAATCTTTCCTGAACACATCATTCAAAATAAAGTCAGCACTGTGAGAAAGAAACACGGTCAGAGTTTGCAACTGTTAGCTCCCACAAACAGGCCTAACGATGCGGCAGATGCTGTCCTGCTAAGCCAGAAGGGTGGAAACCACTGTAAACCCGACCAAAAACGTCAAGCATGCCTCACCGCTCAGCTACACAAAGGAACATGAGTGTTGTGGCCGGATATCAAACAACAAGGGAGGTTCTCGAGATCGCGGTGGCACTCCACACGACATTCTGATGTTCCCAATGCGCCGAGTGAATGCATTTTGCAATGATATTACAGAAGCGTTCAAACTGATTGCGCAATCTGATTAAGCCCAAAACATTACGTCACATATCCGGAAGCACTAACGTCCCAAGAAGACGAGGGATATTCGAGGAAGCAATTTCTGCACCCAGACTGCTTGCACAGAAATGTTCTTTGAGCAATTTTTTTTAAATGGGCCGGTGACACATCTGACTGTCGAGAATGAGCAGTGGGGCGCATCTCAATTTAGCGCTTGCTGTTTTAAGGGGTTCTCGCCTCCTACTCTTTATGTCATTCATTAAAATTTGGCTTTTTATTGCTAAATTTCACTCTGCGGAATTTGTTCACATTTTAGGAGTGAAAACTGCATACAGAGTTCGTTTGGTCAAACGGTGTGCCATTCTTGCTAAGTTCTTTGCTCCTTCATCTGTATTTAGCTCTTCTCCGTTTTATTTCTTCGCACCTTTCTTTCTAATAAACAGCAGTGCAGCGCCGTTTGAAACAAAAAATTATAACGTTCCTCCTCGTTCCCCTGACCCCTCTTCGGTACACTGTTACGTAAGGCAGAGACGAACCCCCCCC